GGAGAGCTCTTTAATCTCAAAGGCCCACAGTCAGCCGAGAGGCAGCCGGAGGATAGAGTGTTAGAGTGAATCGAGGTCTGCTTTACAAAAAGATTCTCCTCTGTTGTCAGTACAGATGCACTGACAAATCAGCTCACTACCAAATTGATCAAATTAAATTTTGCACTTAGCTGAATGAACTGAATGAGGGTCTCTTCTCTCACAATGTTGGAGGTTGATTGAAGGTATAGATGCGATGTCATATTCTTTTGTTTAAAGTCACTCACATGTTGGGTGTTACTTTTTAACTTAATACATAAAGAAAAATAACGTACAGTGTATTTTTTATCCTAAATAAAATTTAAGGTTTTAAATATAGCATTTTTACATTCTTTTAAAAATAAATTTTAACAGCGTATTTTTATTACTCATACTTACATTTTACTTACATGTGTGTAACTTAACTGACACATCATTGTGTTGCAGACAGTACCGCAAATCATGTGGCTGAAATCAAAGAGGTGCTGTTACTTTTCAAAGTGAACAGACTTACTATTTTATTTATATTTTTACAATTGTGAAATAAAAAGTTTATATTCTATTCTATTCTATTTCATGGAAGAAACAGACTTCCATCATTTTCTTCTGGTGAGAAAATAGGTTGAAATTTAAATTTTCCAGGGTTTTGCACTGATGTCATAGTGGTGTCACTGTATATGTATGTGACTATTTCCACCACACACGTGTGTGTGTGTGTGTGTGTGTGTGTGTGTGTGTGTGTGTGTGTGTGATAGAGAAGTTACATGCATTTTAAAGGTACTTTATGGAACCATAGATGCCAGTGAAGAACCTTTGTGTTTAAGAGTGTAGAGACAAGAGGATGAATTTGTTTTATCTGGGTCAGTTCATAACAACCTAGCAATCACTCAGAACACCCTAGCAACCACACAGCAATGTCATGGCAAACACGCACAACACCCATAGTCTTTATAGTCATAGTCATCATAGTCCATAGTCTTTACTCTAAAAACGTACAAATTACAAATTCTATCATTGCATGTCACTTTCTTGGATTTTTACCTTTATTGTATGTTGGTAACACTGAATGCAATGCTATCCCTTTTGGATCTGATATTGTCTCTTCTTGTCAGGATGTGACTTTTATTTTTCTTTTCTGGGAAATATTGCAACAGACTGTGATGTATAAGAAATTTGCTTTTTGTCCTGGCAGTGATGCAGGTTGTACCGGAGACCCCGGTCACCAGGTTCTTTAAAGTGTCTGGCTACACAGACCGTAGATTTGAGGCTGGTGTGTTGACACCTGGGCAGAGAGCAGCTTGAGACAGTGACGATGTTGCAGCCTGTACACACTGGAATTTATTATGCATGCAGCACAGAGCATAAATAATAGAGCCAGAGCTTAGATAGCTGACTCCCAAGCCACTGCAAATGACTAGGTTATGTGTGACCTCTGCGCCTAAAGGTCCTTCATCTCTTCTTTCCCTCTGTTGTCTAATTCTGTTCCTGCACAATAATATTTGCCAGATTTACCCATCGCATAGCGGATGTCGAACAGTGGGCGGAGAGCCGTTCATGCAGCCCTGATGATTTCATAACCAGCATTATCCTTACAAAAAAGTACTGTGATGATACCTTCGTACACTTATGGCATAACCATTAACGTTTTGATGCATACCAAGATGCTTATGCATGTACCATAGTGTATCATAATGTTACTTAAAACAATACCACAAGGCTATCATGTCCAAAAATTACCTTGGTATGTGTCCAAAAACCATAGTATTTTGATTATCAGTGTATGAAAAAATATGGTGAAGGTACAGTGTGTGCACATGCCCTGTAGCTATTGTACAGCCATGGTATGTGAAAACCATAGTATTGGTACATATCCAAAAAAAATTATTAGCATAAGCATATTCATGCTATTAGCATTGTGCATACAACAATTGTATTAGCAAAGTACATGTACAAAACAAATGGTAATATGGTACATATCCAAAAAAAAGTGGTACTAGTAATATAGTGAATATTTTTAGTGAAATACTCCTCTCTACAGGGTTCATTTTTCTAACTATTAAACAAAGGTCACTGAAGTTTTTCTGAGGTAAATGTTACATTTCATGTTTACATTGTTTACAAGCTGTTTCATTGACAACTTTATGGTTGAAACAGCAATTGAATTTAGTAAGAAAATTGACAGATTTTGAAAGCTGAGATTCTGTAAAGCTGAGACATGGTATTGCTGAGATTCATGTCCAGAAAATGGTGTTTACATAGTACAAAAAGTGGCATTAGCATGGTATATGTCCAAAAATTTTTATTAAAGGGGTCATGATGTTGCTAAAAAGAACATTATTTTGTGTATTTGGTGTAATGAAACGTGTTTATGCAGTTTAAGGTTCATAAAACACATTATTTTCCACATACTGTGCATTATAGTTTTTCCTCTATGCCCCGCCTTTCTGAAACGCGTCGATTTTTACAAAACTCATCAGTCTGAAAAGCGAGGTCTGCTCTGATGGGCCAGCTATCCAGTGCGTTGTGATTGGCCAAATACCTCAAGCGTGTGACGGAAATGTTACGCCCCTTACCATACTGTGACGCCCTGTCCAGCCGGAGCGACGAGACAAAAACATTCAAACCCATTATGAACGAGGCATTTGTTGCATCCAGTGGGGACAGATTATAATTACATATTCTGTCTTTTTACGTGTTGCATCGCACCGCGTAAACATAAAACCATGTCTGTATTTGTGATCGGAGAAGTGACAAACAATAAGCGCACTGCTCAAAACTCACGTTTGAATCATCAGTGGCAAATTCTTTAATATGAAAAACATACTTGCAGTCTGTGAGTCAGAACAGTCGGCCTTGTCGTCTACTCTACCGGGATCAGGAAACAGTCCTCCATAAAATGTGCTGCACACATCTGAATATTTGGGTTGAACTGTTCCGGAACAGTGTTGTAAATACAACTTAACCACTAATTTCTAGTTGTGTCCTCTTTTGGAAGGCCAAACAAAGTAGTTTCGCTTTCAGGCCGGTGGCCTAGCGTGAGTGGCGGCCGGCAGATTCGACGAATGAGTGGCAGGTGGGCTTGTGACGACCCCGGGCTGGACTCCGCTTCGTCCACTGTGAAAGCCGATCCGGCGATCCACAGCGCGAAGTTGATGTATTTCCTCAGCAACCAGCACGGATCAGCTCTAGGCATGATGAAGCGGATATCGTCCTCTTTTGGAAGGCCAAACAAAGTAGTTTTGCTTTCACAACGAAACACAGTGTCTTTATGACATGGTGGCAGCAACAATACTACAGCGAGAATAAAAGCTGCGCCTTCTTTCTTTGCATGAACATTTGGGCGGCGTTATGCAAATCTTCCCACATCGTGACGTAGACAGAGTCATTTTGAGTCATTTTAGGTAGGCGTGGTTGACTCTTAACTTTTATAAAGAATATCTCTTTGGATTTGTGACTTTAGTCTCTGCAACTTTGCAGATCTTCTTTATGCACCAAGAGCTTGTAACACTCCAAAGAGAAAGGAAAAACTGAAATTGCATCATATGACCCCTTTAACATGGTACATGTCTGAAAACATACTAGGCCTATTACTCTGGGTATTGGCCAAAGAACATGGTGTTAGCATGGTAAATGTCCAGAAAAATAGCAAAAATAGTATATTAATATGGTACATATCCCAAAAATTGTATTAGCATGATATATATCTAAAATCCACAGTATTAACATTTACGTGTCCCCCCAAAATTTTTTTATATGTTTGTGAAACAACCTGAGATTTAGGATTGGTCCCATTGTTCAGCATAAACTCACTGAGCACCGAAGGAGCAGATCTCCTGAGTGTTTCTAATTGGAAGGACTCTCAGTTATTCTACTGAGATATGTAATTGAGTTCACCCTGGGGGCTGAAGATATGAGACAGTTAACAGGATTCCTAATGTGGACCGTCTGCCGTGTAGATCCAGCTGGACTGGTAAAATGAGTTTAAACTGCTTTGAATTATAAAAACACCATTTTTTTCTGATATAGCCTATATTTGGACCACACATCCAAATTAATTTCCCTACATGGGTAAGTAGTACACAATGACATTATGCATTATTTCCAGTGGGAGGCAAGGATTTTCTTTGAGCTCAGATTTTCAGAGTTGGGGGTATGTCAATGAAAAATTTGTGGTGGAAGCAAATTGATATGTTGCTGTAATTGTCATTGTTGATGGCACAGTTTAGTTTGTGTGCATTTTCTCTTTGTTTAAATTAGGAATAACAAGGTTTGCAGAATATATAACTCATTTGGCTTCTTTATGAGGCTGCAGGCTTGTGCGAAAACACTACTTTCCCATCATTTTTTGCAGCACAACAATGATAAAATACACAGATTAAAGCATCAGTTACACCCTTAATTACTCACCTTTTCCCTTCTTCATGTTGTTGTACGAGCGCTAAAAAAGCGCTCTGTCTTTGTCGGGGAAAAAAGAGAGAAAGAAATATGAAGTTGCACAGCAAGTTGTTATGATTATACGGCTGCAATTTTATATTGAGTTAATAAGATTTCTGAACTCATAAGTTGGAACTTCCCAGGAGGACTTGAAGGCAGCGTAAGTGTCTTTCTCAAGGGTACCGTAGTGATAGCTCATGCATCACCCCTTGCAGTGTTTGAACCCGCAACCTTCAGTTACTAACCTAGACTACACACATATCTTGTCCTTGCATTATGTACAATGTCAAATCAAATGTTTTTGTATGAATAAATAATGTTTTAATAATGTTAATATTTATTTATTTACTCCCCAGCAATTATATACCTATACAATGCTACAACAATACAGAATATTATCACAAAATATCTTTCAAAAATCAAATAATCTCAAACAGAACATATGCCCCCTATGGTATAAGAATGACCCCTAGATTTTAGGGTTATATCATCACAAGTTTCAGCTTTGTAAACCCTGTTTTTGCCTTTCTTTTTCCATATGACCCCAGAGAGCGAGGAGTTCGGTCCAGTGTTCATTCAAGAGCCAGATGATGGAATCTTCTCCCTGGATTCGGATGATAAGAAAGTGATAATGAATTGTGAAGCCAGAGGAAACCCTGTTCCGACCTACAGGTACGGTTTACTCATTTCATTAACATGGATAAGATTTCATTAAATGGATAATAAATGACATTTAATTTCTCTGGAGCTTTACTGTGAATCCTTATTATCCTGCCTGATTGGCATTTCTGTTAGACTAATGCTAATGACGCAGATGTTAGACTTATCTCTGTGGATTCCTAATCAGAATTTATGTAATGTTCTAGTATCATCATGTTACTCACTAAATTGTACTATCCTGTGATTCAGCGTATGTGTTACAGTCTCACAAGTTCTATCCTTTAGGAAACAGCCAGCAATTCATCAATGTATCTGTTTCCACTTAGAGGGTTCGCAGAACATCTATAAGCATAAATAAATATGGGATGTTAGCAAGGTTGAATGATCCGCTCGGTGCTACTGTGCTCTCAGACACTGATGTGGTTTTGAGTTCTGGGTTGTAATTTAGATCGATATTCCTGTCTAAGATATAAAGACACATCAGGTTGTATGCTAACAAGCTCTTTAGCGGTTATAATATGATGATTATATTCTATCAAAACCTAAAAAAATACTCGTCTGAGACCAAACTGGGGACAAACCAAAACTAAGACATTCTGAAATAAATTTTATTCTTTTAATTTAACCTAATGACCAAGGCTTACTATATCATTTGAAAAGGTAAATGTTTCCTACATTTTCATTAGTGGTCTTCAATTAGTTTCCTCAGTATGTATTATATGTAAATAAATATATTATAAATGTGTTTTTTTTCTATATTTTCTAATTGATTCATTGCTTTTGCAGTTGGCTGATCAACGGGACCGTTGTGGACACAGAAGCGGATTTCCGTTACAGTTTGATTGCTGGGAACTTAATAATACACAATGCAAGCGAGGCCATTGATTATGGGAGATACCAGTGTAGAGCTGAAAACAGCATTGGCACCGTCCTGAGTCGAGATGCCCTCCTGCAGTTTGCTTGTGAGTAATTTGACAAATTTTAGATTTTAGTATCATTGAGAAACTATCATGTTTTTTTTCCCTTCAGTTTCGTTTTGCTAATTTTGTTGTGTTTTATTATTTCAGTTTTGCTTATTTTAGTACATCATGGGCCAGATTTACTAAAGAGGCCGAATTAGCACTAAAGCGCAATTCCATAAAAGCGCCGATGGGAGGGGAAAATCCTGTGAGTGATTTACTAACAATGCGCACATTAAAGAACACAGACGCAGCTACATAATTTCCATAATGACCAGCCCAGTCTACAAAGAGCAGTGCAAATTACCGCCTGCTTTTAACATGTTTATTTTGGGTGTTAAATAATGGTGCAAATACCAGTAATTTGTCGAGCGCAAACATTAGTAAATCACGTTGTATGATTAATTTTAATACTCTCCTCCCATAAATTTTTGCATCTGAAACGGAAACTCCTACAAAGGCATATTTAATAAGGTCACGCCTTTTCAGCGCTAATTCTTCACTGAACGTCTTTAGTAAATCCTGACAGTACTATTTGAATGCCAAAAGATGGTTTGTGTTGGTGCAAGCTGTTAGTAAATCTGGCCACAAGTTGTCTTGGCATCTAGCTGAAATAAATTAATTGTTTTGTTTTTTTGTTTTGTTTTGTTTTGTTCCCTTTCAGTCGGTCACTCTCGACGTCACGTCGGATGACCAACGAAATTGGGATCTCGCTTAGAGAGACCAATCTACCTCGAGCGTAAACTAAACGAGCCAATGCATATTGGCATGTGATTATTGCATCCAGCTGCCGCTGATCACAGCGTGAGTATAAGTAGGCAGCAGATGCAGCGCATATTCAGCTTTTCGCTTCGGAGCCGAGCGATCACATCGTTCTGCTCCTGACTACTCTACTGAGAGAAGAAGACTGAACGAGTTCAGCGCGCTCTTGGAGAGCTCTTCGTACCCCCTGTTTGTGTTGCGGATGATCACCTCCCCTGTGCGCCTCAGCACACTAAAATAGCTTTTTTCCCTAAAAGAGCAATTTCGGGAAGACGACGTTGCGTGGCAAACTTGACGTTACGTCTTTGTAAAGACGATGTGGGTCTTGCTATAGACAATGTATCACCCGAGCGTTTCTGGATGCGGTCGTTACCTGGCGCTTGGTGATGGTCACGATCGCTGCCTCACGTGCCTGGGCATGTAGCATGCTGAGGTGGCGTTTGTGGATGAGTCATCTTCTCATTGCGGGAAGATGATCATCTCGGATTCGCGGGCCAAGCTCCGTTTCCTCAAGGGGCGGAGTTCCGTTGCCTCTGCCTTGATCTAGATCTCCTCTTGGTGGCAGCCAGGGGGGGCTACTTCAGGCAGTAACACGGGCGGTCTGAGGCACTCCGCAGCCAGTTGAGCTGCCAATCGAATGTGCTGGGCCCTCTACAAGGAGAGTACCAGACGTATCCTTTGGTGCTCCTCCCAGCGACCAGATGTCGATTGCTGCATCGGAGGGTGAGCTAGAGCTTTCTGGAGAGGAAGATTCGGCTGCGCTGCTCTCCTCCGGGACTGTAGCAATGCCTGAATCGGATCCAGAAATAATGGCTATGCTTTCCCGGGCCGCCGTAGGGGTAGGGCTCGAGTGGAGATTAGTTCTCGGGGTGGTCCGTGCTGGTTCTCAGCTCCCCGCCTCGGTGCCTTTCTTCCTGGAGGTGCATGAGGAGCTCAACAGGTCGTGGACGGCACCTATTTACTGCCGGAAACCGATCTGCGGGTACGCCTGTAGTTCCGTTGATGCCACTTGCGCGGTGTCTGGGAGCCTGGCTTGAGCTACCCAGCCCGTCTCGATTGCTCCTTCGAACCGTCAGGCTCGGCTATGTGATTCAGTCGCCCGGCATCCCCCCAAGTTCAGTGGCATCCCCTTCACAACAGTGAAGGCGGCCAATGGTCCTGTTTTGTGGGCGGAGGTCGCAGTCCTACTGGCAAAGGATGCGATAGAGCCGGTCCC